TTTCCCTGCCCCCCCCCCTCCCCCGTTGTTCCCCCCGGCTCCGCTCTCGAGGACATCGCGACTAGCGTGAGTGCATCTCCGGTGTATGCCAACCCCGCTGATCAATTCGGCGCTCCTATATTTTCTGCGGACGCCAGAGGTAACTAGTGCTGGCCGTGCTCGGCAGGGGGAGGCAGGAGTGGTAGGCCGCGGGGTCGGAAGGAGCCCTCGACCTGCCAGAAGCTGCAGCGGTGACACAGCAAGCCCACTGCACCACGGCTGAGTAAACGCATTTCAAGTAAAACAATTAGTTCGGCAAGCAGTAAACAAACACCAAAGATCAATCACTTCTCCAACGTTTCAGCGACCCTATGTTCGGCGATGAAAAATTTAAAGAGAGATTTAACAAGATTTAACAGTGTGGAGCTGTATGGACTTAGCTAGCAGACTTGAGGTAGTTTTAACTAAGCTGGACTATACAGCTTTAACAAGGTGGAACTGAGCGGATTTAGGCAGCAGACTTAAAGTAATCTTAACTAGGTTGAATTACACAGATTTGACAAGGTGAAGCTGTACGGATTTAAATACTCTGTTAAATCTGTACAGTTTTTCGTGCAACCGTTAAATCTGTACAGTTTAACGCAGTTAAATACAAGACTTTCACGCAAACGTAACAATGTTGGACTATACAGATTTAACAAGATTTCCGTTCTTTTTTTTTTTTTTGGTTGTTGCATGAATGCAACAAAAAAACGATAACGAAAATTGGCACCACGCTGACAGATAATGCAACAGCGACAGGTGATCGCGAAGGAGAAATGTGCATTCCTTAGTCGGAGAATAAGAATAACTCAGTCCCGCGGTTGTTAAATTCAATCGGAAGATAACAGAAGAACGCCAACTTTTGAGCTGAAATGATCGGAAAAGAGTCGGAGAGGGTGCGAGATACGCATTTGTTTCGTCAAGTTTGGGTGTCCATAGTCCCTCTGCCTCGAAAGGCCTAAGTCATGTAACCTCCGGAACGTACTGCAAAGCTACTGCCCCCTCGGACTGCATCCTCCAGTTCGTGGTCAAGTAATTTCACGAACGAAAGCCTTGCTACTGGCAGTCTGTGCCCGGACTTGGTTAAGCGTCGTACCGAATCAGTTGTTTTCATTACTGACGTGTCACAAAGACGACCCAGTATCAGCTGTGTACAAATTACGCCTACCAAATGAGTTGCAGCCGAAATGCGCATCTATTTTTACCACATCAGCATCCGGGACGGTCATTAGGCCTCACAAAAAAGATTGCCTTTTTCACCAACGAATTTACGACGACACATTCATCACGAATTACGCGTTCTTTTGCAGCACACAGTGCTCTATTTCTCACTCCACGAAGCCAACCAGACGGTTGATGAGAGGCTTCAACGCAAGCACTTCAATGACACTTACAGCGACATTACGTACGTCTGAACGCCGGACATATCCATATGGAACTCAACTTCTCTTCGTAAAGTTCGTATCACCGGATACAATCAGTGGAAAAGAATATCCGACCAGTCCGTGATGGTTTAGAAAGAAATTTCATTAAAACACAAGAAAATAGCGCTGAATTATAATTAAACTGCAAGACGGGAATATTTCGGTCCTTGAAGTCGTAAACATTCCTGCTGCGCGCCACAACTGGACCTTTTCAGTACGACGGCTATAGTCTCAATTTATCACAACTGAACTGACACGCGCACTTCTGGTGCATAGCTTGGCCGACTATTCATGGGGATTTTTCTACCAAAAGAAAGAGAACGCTGAGCACGAGGTAATCGTCTCAAGCGTGAACATATCAATCGAAAACGCTCAAAACAACACACAGATTTTATTGTGATCGGCCGCAACGCCAAAAAGAAAACAGTAGAACGGAAAAAAGTAATATACTGGTTGGTACAAAGCAAGAAATCATCGATAACCCGTGCGAGGTACAACAATGCGTGAAAATGTCTTCACGCGAGTTCTGCGCTTCCGCGTTATATGAAAAGATGACGAATACTGCTTCAAATTATATTTAGGCGGGTAGCACAAAAACGACGATGAAAGTACATATGATATGCGGTAGCCACTTGTTTTGACTTCTAAGGCGTTTCGGCTTATGTCCACAGTGATTTGTGTTCTAAAACGAGGTACGGGCGCATCTCTGTGTCACCGCTCAAGCCGGTTTTTTGCACACTGTGCAAATGCAATAAGAAGCATATTGGCAAGATTTCATTTTCATGAACTATTCGATTCCATTTTAGGTCAGATATGACTGCACAATAGTTCATACTACACCTTGAGAACTTCGCGTCGCAGATCTGGCATTTGAAATTTTTTTCGGTAAAATGCTTCTTTCGATGAGTTTCGAAGCGGGAGCGCGATGCGAATGATAGTGGGCAGAAGTCGCAGTGGTATGTTCGAGATGAATGCACCTGCGAGTGGCCCTGCAGCGCGATTTGTGATGCAAACACCTGCAGACGAGCTTAGCAAAATGTGACAGAAGCGACACAATCCACAGATGCTGTGGTGCAACGCCAACAGAGGATTTCAATAGCGAAAAAAATTTTTTTCCTTTTTGCAATCGAAAATATCTTCTTGCACATGATACTTGGCCCAATCCTTTATCTTCTATTCTACCATTTTTAACAAAAATTGCGTGAAAAGGAAGCACACGGGCAGCTTGGAAAGCCACACTCACTGAACAGTACAAGAAGTGATTCAGCTAGGACGAATGAACTGGCCAGGACATTGCAGCAGCGATGACGCACAAGGCGAGCTGTTCAATGATATCGAGATGCTAATGGAAAAACATTGAAGAGATTAAGCAAGATGGAAAAATCCTCTGCCCAAATGCATGGATAGCCAAGCTTGAAGCAAAAATAGTTCAAAAGTTGCGGAATCTCCCACCAAAAACTCGCAACGACACGTGAAAACTGAATTTCAAACCTCGAAGGGCGAGTGTCCTTCCATAAATGAATATCCTTCTAAAATTTCGACCTCCTGATTTTCTGCTCTTGAATGGTTTTTTCGACAATACTTTCACTTGAACATACGCGAGACCTCGATATGCTTAGGAACTGAACTCGAGTTTGTGGAGCCCCTGCTTAGGCAGGAAATACCCTCCTGACATTTTCAACTTCATAGCTCCTCTCGCTCCCGAAATATTGATTTTTCCCAACAAAACTTTTAAGGGGACGATATGAATTTGCGGAGTCATACCTGTGCGGGAGTGCTATGTTGAAACTTTAGCTTCCTAGGTCCTATGGTTCTCGAGATAACAACTTACCCGCCAAAAGCTTTACGGGGTCCTATTATGTTATCCGTGGGCACGGAAAGGCTGAATTTAAATTTCCTGGATCGCACGTGGGCAAGAGAGATACCCACAAAATTTCAGCTTCCTATCCTCTGTGGTTCCCGAGACAATAATTTTCCTTGCCAAAATTTTTACGGGGCCGCACGTGTTACCCACCCGAACGAGGCTGAATTTAAATTTGCGGGGTCACCCGTGGGTGGGGAACATTCTCCTAAATTTCCAGCTCCCTAGCTTTTGTGGCTTCCAAGTTAAAAGTTGCGGACAAGTTGCTGTGGATACGTGCATACATACACACATACACAATCCCGTGACAATTTGCGTTTTGTACTGCTGTTACACAGCACAAAAGGCATAAAAAAAGAATAAACTAATAGCACCTTGGAACAACGCGAACATAGAAATTGCTGCTGCTGCTGCTGCTGCTGCTGCTGCTGCTGCTGCTGCTGCTGCTGCTGCTGCTGCTGCTG